CTGTCAAAGGCTTTTTCAAGATTTTTTGTCAGAATAATAAAAAATATAATTTTTGAAATGGAAATCATAGTTGGCTATGAACTTAAAAAATGCTGGCGTTTAACCCTTTCCAACGATATAAAGTTATGTGTATTTATTTCTAAGAATGAGAGAAATATTAGGTTTTTTATCTTTGTATCAAAGCGGGCCTTGATTTTGTGTTGACCTAGTTGCCTAATTATTTTTTTATCAGAATTTAATATTCTATATTATTATTTATCTGCATAATTAAAAACTGTTGAAAGGGTAAATCAACATTCTATATTTATTAGTATTACCAATTACAATTAAAACGCCAGGGTTACAACTGAACCATTAAATGGAGAATTTAGAGAGAATTGGGTTGGAACAAGGGGCACATATCTTGGCCTGCTAGGTTCTGTGATTTAACTCCTTTCGACTTTTTTATGGGGGAAATTAAAAGGTATATATAAGAGAAGAACCATTGGGACGATAGAAGAATTACAGAAGGCTACTAGGACTTCATTTTGGACTTATTAAACCAGTTCGTCTAATAAATCGTTGTAACTTTGTGCGCAAAATATGTTTATTGTGTATTCTACAAGAATGTGCTCAATTTGACCATCTGATTTTTTTAGAAAACTATATTCGTCACTCAAAAAATACGTTTTTTCAGTTTTGTTCTTTGTTTATGTATCGATTTCATTTGTAATTACTAATACTAATAATTACAATTACTAATAATAATAGAATGTTCAAAGCTTACCATTTCAAAAGTTTTTAATTATGCAGATAAATAATAATATGGAATATTAAATTGTGATAAAACATAATTAGGCAGATAGGTCAACTCAAAATCAAAGCCCGCTTCGATATAAAGATAAACCCTTAATATTTCTCTCATTCTTAGAAATAGATACCCATAACTTTATATCGTTAGAAAGGGTTAAACGCCAGCATTTTTTTAAGTTCATAGCCAACTATGACTTCCATTTAAAAAAATATATTTTTTATTATTTCTGACAAAATGAGCAATGATAGAAAAAAACTGACTACGCCAATGGATTGTGCTTAAAAAAGGGCATTAAGAACGTTTTTACAGAATTTTATTATACCGCGCAATAAAAAAGTTATAGGCAATTTTCAAAATGGTAAAAATTTCAAAAAGACCCCGTATCTCTGTTGGCAGTGAAAATATCAACAGGCGGTTTACGCCATTAAATGTATCTCAGAAATCGAGCCCATGACATCTATTTCGGTTTTTCTCTATCTAGTCAGGAAATAGGTTTTCTCTCTGTTTAAACAGACTAATTTCTACCACCCTGTACATGGTGCAAATGTAACAAAAATAATCATCGATTAAAATATAATCAGTGATTACCTAAACACTGTTTAAATCCAATTTGGTGGGCAAATGGCAATAAATAATTCGTTAGTAAAGTCTTACTAGATTTTTTCTGTGTATATCTGTTATTTTCTACTTTATCTAGTTATTGTCTGAGAGATGAAAATATTAATTTCACTGTTATACCATATTTTTATACTTGGGCAATTTGATATACAATTGAGGCTTATAGAATATTAGAAGAACAGAGGTATGAATATTATAATGATGATAAATTGACTATGTTGGGAAACAACAAAGAAATTCCAGAAAAATTCCCTAGAAAATGCACATTAGGATCATCTGTAAGACTCAAAAGCTAAATCAGTTTTTTCTTATGAAATCCAGGTTTATTCTAAGTTATTTTAACAGATGACGTGATCCGAACTACAAATATTTACTAAAGTGTGATTTATCTTATCGATACTTTCGATAAACCTTATCGATAAATATTATTCCAAATTGGTATCTTATCGACAATTTTTATTTAGTATTATTTTCCATAGACTAAACAAGTGCACTATTGTTCTCCTAGACTTTATGACGTTGAAATAAACTACATATTTCGGAACTACTTTACTTTAAGCATAATTTCGTTGTACGGCACTGGACGTTTGTTACGGCGAAATCGATACGGTGGGCAGTAAAAAATCACCTTTTCAATTAGCTTTATGCTTTATATCATTTATAATAAGAACTGGCACGTATATGGTCTGTGGCAATAACACGATACACATATTTTATTTCCGTTTATCGACACAAGTCTCTCATAAAAATGATACACGAAAAAAAAATACTGCGTGGAAAAAATAATTCACAAAATCTTTTAAATATTGCTGAAGTTCCATGTGATTGACACCCGGATAATATTTTCATTAAAGTTATGATCATCATAATCATCATTGAATAAAATAATTAAAGGAGCATATCAACAAACATAGTCGGAGTGCGATGGGGGTTAATACGGCTGACTTTCGGTTTATTAGTGCCAAAATGTGTAAAAATACCGGGTGCGTCTCAAAAGTGGCTCACCCCTATAACTTTTTTATTTTTTTAGTAAAAAAAAACGAAATTTGGTATGTTAATATATGACATAAATTAGGATTGACTGACGTATTCAATTGTTTTCGGTCACTTCCGGTTTCACCGGAAATGACTACAACTTTTCATTTTTAAATGGCACCACAGTATTTTTTTGCTTTATTCGATAGAAAATGTCACTCTGAATAGAATGACACATCATATGTCAACTTTTGACATTTTCGAATATGGTTTATTTGAAGTTATAACTTGCGGTTCGTAACAAAAATTTGACTTGAAATACCAAGTGTGTGGTATCAAATTGTTCGTAAAAAAATGCTTTTTCCAAATATGCTAATGAGCCACCCTCGTTCTATTTGAAAAAATTGAGTTATGATTAAAAATACGATTTGAGAATTTTCTAACTGGCCAGGACAAGACACTAAAAACATTAGACGATCAAATCTATTTTTCCAGGGCCCCTTGATGAAGAAATAGTGTTTATAACATAGCCATGGCACTCTAGATTGAATTTTAAAATACAATTTTTTATTAAGCGAGAATGTCAAAAGTTGACAGATGATATGTCATTCTATTCAGAATTTCATTTTCTATCGAATAAAGTAAAAATATACCGAGGGTGCCATTTAAAAATCAAAAGTTGTAGTTATTTCCGGTGAAACAGGAAGTGACCAAAAACAATTGAATACACCAATCAATCCTAATTGATGTCATATACTAACATACCAAAACTCGTTTTTTTTATCTGAAAAAATAAATAAGTTATAGGGGTGAGCCACTTTTGTGACGCACCCGGTATAATGTAGTTAATGAGTAAACTCAATCACATTTGTTGGATGAGTAGTTATAATAATGATTTAATAACAAAAATGTCACATACGCCACTGATTCACCGAAGTCAAATTGACGTGTATTTTAATTATTTTTGATAAGTTGTAAGTAAAAGCAAAAATTTATAAGTGATTGGTTTGCTACACGTAGCGTGTATTATACAGGTTGGTCCGAACTGTGTTCCGGAAACTTTGGCAGCATATAGTGCAGATAAAAATAAGTAAAAAAGTTCGTATAAATGTATGTCCTAAAATGCTTAGTTTTGGAGATACAGGGTGTAGAAGTTTCATTTTTATTTCGATTTTCTCCAAATAATTTATGAAGTGGGCGTCAATATTTCGATGAAAATTGGTGTCTGTGAGTTTTTTAACACGAGAAATTTGATTTTGCTGTCGATATGACTCCTTCTTGTAGAGGGCGCCACCTACATATTTTTTAACTGGTTTGAGGAGTAATAACTTTTCGTCCGTACCTGTATAAATCTACTGAGTAAAAAATACACATTTACGACGTTTTTTACGTAAAAATGTCTCTTGGTAAAAATCGCTACGAGTAATGGTTCTCGAAATATTTTTAATCAAAATGATCAATACCTACCTGCCATCATTGACATAAATTAAACATGTTGACTAACTAGTTATTAGACTGAAATCATAAATTTGAAATGTTTTGTGCCAACAGTACAGCAAAAACGGTTTTATCATCATTTCTTCGGCGAAAAAATATGGTTAATTTAAAAAAAATAAAAAATTTCCAAATTTATTATTTTAGTCAAATAACTATCTACTCAACGTGTTTATTTTTTGTCAATAATGACATGTATTGACTATTTCCATTTTAAATATCTTGAGAAGGGTTGCTCGTAGTGATTTTTACCAAGACACATTTTTTACGTAGAAAGTCACGGAAATGTATATTTTTCACTCAGTAGTCTTATACAGGTACAGACGGAAAGTTATTACTGTTCAAAATAGTTTAAACGCATGTAGGTGACGCCCCCTACAAACAGGAGTCACATTGATATCAAAATCAGGTTTCTCATGTTAAAAAACTCCCAGACATCAATTCTCATCCAAATATTGGTGTTACTTCAGAAATTATTTGTAAAAAATCGAAATAAAAATGAAACTTCTACACCCTGTATCTCCGAAACTAAACATTTTAGGACAAACATTTATACGAACTTTTTTACTTATTTTTATCTGTAGAATATGCTGCCGAAGTTTCCGGAATACAGTTTGGACCACCCTGTTATTATTATATAGAGTATATCGCCGGAATGTCTTTATACAAAAGGAAAAACTTTTTTATTATTAACTTTTTTTAGAAAAATACATCCTTCATAAAAAATTTTGCTTGTTCTAAAATTGTTAAATCAATTTATAGTTTTCCAAATTTCCATATCTTTTTCTTTTTAGAGAAAAATAAGAAAAAATATGAAAATATAGTTGAATTTTTTCTCAATCAAAACGCGTTTCTATGGTAACATCATTTCGTTTGCATTCTTGGATAGATGGCTATTATTGTTAATTTTGATTAACGTCATATATTTTTCTGTTTATTTGAAAACAGAAAAATATATGACGTTTATTCAGAACAAAAAAATATATGACGTCATATATTTTTCTGTTTATTTGAAAACAGAAAAATATATGACGTTTGAAAAACTAAAGAAGTGTTTCCTCTTGTAAATATAATCCGGAATCCGGAGACATAGCCTACTGACCGAGAGCCAACTAAAATCACAGATAACACATAATCCAGATGGCTCCTTACGTGTTAAAAATTGTCACCCCAATTTCACTCCAATTTGGAAAAATATTGGAGTGACGTTTGAATAATCTGAAATTTTTAGATTCCTTTTCTAACTTTTTTGGGAGGTTTTGCTTCTCTTGCACAGATGTCGCTTGCACTTCAGTTGCGTGGTTGCCAAACGTTATATCGAAATATATTTCATTTCATTATGAATATATAAAATTAAAAATTATGTAATTTATAAACATGAAATAGATATGGATGTTAGGTAATACCGGATGTTAAATTAATATATAAATATTTAACTTAATACGTACATTATTTTATTAATTTATCGTCACACGTCATTTACCAGTTGCCTAATTACGAAAAGTTTCATATGATATTAACCTCAAAAATGATCTTTGAAAACAAACAACAACAAATAACTCAAAGAAATAACTACATACTACATAATAATAACTGATAATAATGACTTTTAATGGTATAAAGGCTGATGAAGGTAATTATAAACATTATTTTGAGTTTGTTTAATAAAATATAGGATACAATATAACTAAGCAAAATCAAACAGTTTTAGACAACCAATACAAGATTCAGAACTCGGCATCGCGATAAACAAGTAAAATTGTACATTCAGGAACTCGTTTAAATATTATAGGTAAGTAATATTTTCACAAAAGTAAACATAAAGTAATATAGAATATTACCTGTGATAAAATGTTAATTAGTGACGTATATTTATTCTAATCACATTTAAATTTAAACTCAAAATTTTCATAAAGAAAATGATAATTTTTCATAGATATAAAGTAAATAATATTACATATTTCAGGTTGATTGAAGAATAATCTACAATTGATTAGAGCCTATGACGATGCGAAGATAATTAATCACCTAACTTTAAGAAACCAGCCTAAAGAAGTTTACATGCATCTCATCTAACCATTATAGGTAATAATTTACAAAATTAGTCATTTTTGATTATAATATTATGGTACTTAGGTACATTTTATCTTCTAGATCAGTAGTGATTTTTCATAATTTGAATGAACTCACAGATAGCAATGGGGCACCGCACCGAAGCAGTATTACAAAATGTGAAATAAAACTGTAGTACATATTGCTCTATAAAATTTAATAGAAATAAATTTATTTATGAAAATTAATGAAGTTTTATCTTTCCTAGGAAAAAAATAACAATTATATTTTGAACAATTAATTTAGAACATTAGAGTTAAAAAATATATGTGTTAGAAATTGTAACACATATTTTTTAACTCTATGTTATTCTAACTTAGAATAACATATTTTTAATAAAATTGCGCTTATACTTTATACTTTTTGCTATTATATCAATAAGAACTAACGTAAGGAGCAATTCATTTATACTATAAACACACATGCATATTTTTTGATCTTTTTAAAACCAGTGAATAATGTTGAAATATGCTACACCTATTAATTCTTATTAACTAACTTTATAGCTAGACAGTTGAAAATTTTACAGATAATGTATCTATGTTGCCGCTATAAGAACAAATACTAAAAACAGAATTAAATAAATGTTTATAAATAAAAAGTACTTTCACTAAACATTATCGTTTAAGTAAGAATTTTACACAGAATATTCAAGTCCTCGAGTGGCCGTGTGGTTAAAGGCGTTAGGATTTGAAGGCGTTGAGACGTAGTGAGGCAGGTTCGAATCGTAGGCAAGGTGACTTTTTCTTAATCTTTTTTTTTATTTTTTACATATTTTTACATATTTATTTTTACTTATTTATTATTGATTAATACAATTTTTAGCAATGAATTTCTTCATTTTTTTAAATTACTTACAAGCGCATTCAAAATTTCAGCTAAATCGGAAAAAGTTTACAATAATATAATGTCTGATGTTGTATAGATAATGTGTGAATGGTACATTCAATGATAATGAACCCTTCGTGCGCGAGTCCGACTCGCACTTGGCCAATTTTTTTGTTAATTGAAACGTTTAGAATTTGAATATTCGTTCAAAATTTTTTTTTAATAAATTTATTTATGATAAACAATTTATTAATGAAAATAATATGACCGAATTTCCTGGAAAGTTTTTCAAATTTGTACATATGAAAACCTAACTTTACCACTTATCATAGAAAATCTCTATTCCTTCCCTTATCACGGAATAATAAAGGAACGAACCATATGCGACAAAGATAGAAGATTTAGATATGTCGTTACTGTCTTTTGTTTTTAACGGATATTTTAAAATAATTTACCTTTGACTGTCTTTGATTATAACTGTGTGTGATTAGTGATAATAAAATTATTATTAAAATGTCTGGTAATAAGTGCCAATTTTATAATTGTGGGATTTCTCGGAAATCAGGTGTACATATGTTTAAGTTTCCTGCGTCAAGAGATCCTAATTTATGTACAAAGTGGATAGAAAATTGTGGTGAGTTCATTCATATAGAATTTTTTGCACATTTTGTATGTAAAAATACGGCGTTAAGTTACCTTAGAAATGGTGATCGATGGCTTTTACCATATACCGTATGATCGAAAAAAAACGGCGTCAGCGATGGCTATGAAATGAAGATCGCTGTCATTTGATATGTAAAATTATATGGGGAATGTCATCGACCATCATTTCCAAGCCAATCGGACGCCTTTTTTTGGATCATACGGTATAATTTAACACATTAAGAATTGTCCATCGTTATTTCTTTATCTATGCAAAGTTTATGATGGATAAATCAAGTAATTAAGTGAATATAAATTATAAATGAATCAGTGAACATAAACTGTTATAAATTATAAGTAATGCAATTATTGAATATACCATACGATCGAAAAAAAAAACGGCGTGGGAGTGGGCTTGGAAATGAAGCATATATAGATTAATTGAAAGCATTTTATAAAAATATATAGTTATACAGGGTGTCCCCAAAAAGTTATACATTAAAGTTGTTTTTGTAATGGAATACCCTATATATTAATTGATTTTTGGATTCCAGGAAAAATAAAGGTGTGTTTTTATTAAAGAAGCATGTGCCTAGAATGTAAGGATTTTGACATATTTCACATTTTGTGAAAATGAAGAATAAAATTTAAATTTCAATAACAGCTATCTATATTGTAATTTATCCTGTATAGCCTGATATTTAGTTACAATAACCATAATATGTTAAACCAAATTAAAATGTGACAGGAAAAGTTATACAGGGTGGGACAAAACTTATATTGAACATTTATCACTTTGAAAAGCAAGTTACTCCTTTATTTTAAATGGAACACCCAGTATATTATTTCCGTGTTCAATGGGGAATTCATATATCTTCAAAATATTATTAAGGTTGCCTACCCCTCTAACAAAGATTTTCCTAGATACTTTCATTTTTATGATTTTGCGTCAGTAGATCTTTATTATTTGAAAAAATCTAGGTGGCTGTGTTAATTTATCAAAAATTAAAGGATGTAGTATAAAATACTGTAATAAAAACATACGTTTAAAACATATATTAATTATCACAGAATTAAAATTAGATATAAATGTATAATTATATAACAAAATTTGAATCTAAAAGTAGAATCATATCAATTCTTTCTGATGTAGGATAAGTTTCTATTTTCGGAAAATTTCTTAGATTTTTTTTGTTTCAACTGACGAACTGACACAAAATAATAACTAGTTGCTAAAGTTGAACTAATTTGACAGCTATGTTGAAGTAACGTAGACATATCACAGCCACCCTAGATTTTATCAAATAATAAAGATCTATTCACACTAAATCATAGAAATGAAAATATCTAGGAAAATCTTTGTTTGAGGGGTAGGCCGGCAACCTTAATAGTATTTGGAAGTGACATGAATTTCCCATTGAATATCGGAATAATATTCTGGGTGATTCAATTAAACTAAAGGAGTTATACAGGGTGGGTATTAAAGGAGTTATACAGGTTATACCAATGTTCAGCATTAATTTTGCCCCACCCTGTATAACTTTATGGGTCAGGTTTTAATTTGATTTAAAGTGCAATAGAGTAAATTCCAATTTAGGTAGTTTTTCTTGAAATTTAAAAATTGTTCTTCAAAATCTTAAGTAAGTCTAAAACCTTACATTTCAGTCATATACTTCCCTAATAAAACACACCTTTATTTTTCTCTTAGAATCTAAAAATTAGTTAACGAGCGAATTTCCAAAAATTGCCCCTTAGTGTTCAATTACGTCAGTCAAGGAGCACTCGTGAAAAATTTCATACTCTTAAACCAGATTTTAACAAATTTTTATGCAGCTTTTCATCCCTAATTTTACCCCCTTAGTGGTCGAATTTTCAAAAAATCCCTTCTTAGTGCTCATTTACATCACTTAAGGAACCTATGTGCCAAATTTTATTTATTACTATATAGATAACCTTTACCCTTATTTTCAGCTAATGAATATTAAGAGACAAATAATAAAAATAAAATCTAAATTATAAATTTCATGGCTATAAATAGCATATATATTCATCTAGAAATTCTGACTTTCAAACATCCACTGCGACTAGTATTTTCATGTCCAATTGTATAGTATTAAAGTCCGAATATACATTTTCCCTGGGTTTGACCGGGAATTTGCTTATAAATATGAACAACCGGCTACGTCGCTTCACATCGCGTGGCCGTGGTGTGGCTCGAAATTCGTTCGTTTTAAAAATATTATTGGATTTGGCTATAGGCGCCCTCTGTGTCATTAATAGGGAACTGTCTCATCGAAAACATGCTGTTCCGTAAGCAATGGCCATCTGGATTATGTGTTATCTGTGCTAAAATATTATTTATATAACAGTTTTTTTTCTGGAATTCACAAAAATGTTGTTGCCATGTTAATTTAGTGAGACCATATAATATGTTTTCTATTTCTAAATAAAACCAATTGTAGAATAAATAATAAATAACATAAAATAAAGGTCAAAAAATCCGCTAAACAAAAAATCCGCAAAATTTCAAATTAAATTGAAATGTCAATTGAATCTGATTGATTCGCGAAACAGAATTGTCAAAAATGGGGTTCATGATATCGATTCCATCATGAATATACAGGGTGTCCCAGAAATGAGTGCAGATATTTTAACTGGTAGTATAGTTCAACCCCAGAAACACGCCTATGAGGTTTTTTTTGCGAAAAAAAAATGTTGAAAATTTTATATTTTTCTTGACATTTTCCGGAAAATGTTGAAAAACTTTTGAGTGCCACTGTTCACTCACCGGGAAATTCGTTTAGCGGGCATAGAGAGTGTCGGAGAGAATGCAACGTTGCCACCTCCTACCATACCCACATTCTGCATGTTTATAAATTCAATTATTTTTAGTTGCTACAGAAAAAAATACGAAAATTAATTTTATTCATATTAGTGTAGATTGCTCTACTAATTCTAGAGAAACGCGCAATATTTTAAATACTTTTTACAGTGGAGTAAACTGAAAAAATAAATCTTAACAATTATAGCTTCTTTTTTGCCATATTAGGAAATATTTTCAATCGTTTCAATAAACAATTATAACCTTTAATGTTTAGTTAGAGCTTACCCTTTTAATGAAAGTGTTTTTATCCAGCACACATATACGCAAACACATACACACCAAATATCTATTAAACTGAACATCACAAACCTATCACATGCCTATCACTTTTAAAATATTATTTAAAATTTTTCACATGATAATAATCAAACACTAAACTCATAAATACAATAAAAAATGTTAAAAAAAACTTGCTTTAATAACTACTTATATCCGGTGGCTGATGGTAGACAGTCCGGGGTTTTCTTCGACATTTCTTCAAAACCGACGCAACCCCGACAACGATTTCGAAAACACTGAAGGAATTAGAAATCACAAATTTTTATTTAGGAATTTGTTCACTTAGCGTCCTCTACTGGACTGATGTATTACTATTATGGGTCAACGTTTTGGTGGTTGTATAAAGATAGATAAATCAATTTTCTAAATGTTTAATGTATGGAGTAGGGATATCCCAAAAATAAAATAAAAGTACAAGAAAGAATTAAGGTAAAATCAAAGAATATTCTACGTTATCTAAAATATAAAAATATGGGAAGCCCCGACAAAAATCTGACACCTGATATCAAAGTGATAAACCAACATCGGCGCATGCGGCAGCGAGCACTTACACTTAATTTTTCAGTTCATTGCTAGATGGCCTTTTACTAGGGATGCACTGCAAACAAATATTCCAG